GAAATAAACAATGTGCGAAGTATAACGAAAAGCGATCCAGCTATTTAAATTGAACCTACCACCTTTTTGTATTATAAAAGTTGTATTATCAGATTAAGTTATGCCGAATACCGTTAAGTTCTGCTCATGTTAATATTAGTTTTTACTTCTTTAAACAGATTTTTGACTATCGAAAAAATTATATCCGCTCTTAGATGAAGGCCAACGCCATCTCCTCTTTTTTACTGCAGCAATGTTCAAATGAGTGATAACCCCTTTAATTGAGAACTCCGGAATCTGTAATTTTTTCGCCATCTAGGCCATAAATATTTTCACTCAGGCCATAAATAGTATTCAAACTTCTCTATAATACTGGGATAAGAACCATTGAAGTCCCCAGGTAATTCGTGACAGGCTTTAGTTTCGTCTGGGTTGATGTTGTTTTTGTTCTTGTAATTCCAGAAAAAGTTGACCACGTCATTTACCAGGTTTGCTCTAGCTCGTGCAGCAAAGGGGTTTCACGATTTCGAGTACCTTTCTAGTGCTCTAACCCTTGCCATTGCCATTGCCATCTTGAATCACACCCAGGTCGTCTTGTTTTTTTTAAATACTTGATATCCCGTCTTTGATCAGCATTTTCACGTTTGAGGGCCTCTATTTCCTCCATCATGTTCTGTTGATTAGACCTTGTTGGGTTCTCAGCATCTATGACCGTTAAATAACAAGTATAAATAAAGCAAGAAACCTTGCTTTATTTATACTTTATCCAAAAGGCGAAATTCAGTGCAAAAATCAAGCGAAAGTTTCAGCTCAGAAGTTTTCTTTTGAAGGTCAAGCAAGCAATTGAATCTCAGCCTTCTTTCTCTCTTTTAAAAACATTGGGATTGAAAAACAAATCTTAAAGTTGTTGTTAAATTTGAGAAGAAATCAAACTAGTCAAATTGTTTGGCAGAATATGACGTAATCTATTTTAGTTTAAATACTTGTCGATAATTTGACATTAGGCATTACGCATTTTTAGCGTTTTTTGGATTACAACTTTTTTCAAGTTATATTCAAGTTCGTTTGCTGAAAGGAAGGCAAAATAAGTTCTTAAATTAATAAAGCGGAAAGTGCGTGAAAAACGTTAATCACTGTTTGTTCCGAAGGTGGGTTTTAATCCCAGCGTTTTCAAAAAAAATACCTGGAGACCTAGTTTTCTCCAACTGACTTAGTTTTATGAAATAAGAGCCAATGATAAAATAGTTATGAAATTCAAAGAGTAGTGTATTTTTTGTTGAATTGTGAATCTATAAAATAGATAACAAAATTCATCAATTATTGAACTCGAATAAATTATTGAGATCACAGAATGGCAGAAATGTATAAGAAGTTTCATACTTTTCAGCTGACTGTGAGCTGTACACTACACGAAGCACAGTACCTGGTGAAGCTATTGTTGAGTGACATTCCGATTGACTCGCAGAGTGGAGAGACAGTTGCAGCAGACACTAGCCGGGTAAGGGGAGTAATCAGGAAGCTCTCTCTCTCTCTCTCAATCACAATGCTCTGCAGGAGCACAAAATAGTGCAGATTCTGGCAGAAAATGCCGTCTCTTGACTGGTTGATTGACGCAAGTGAATATTGTAGAATATGGCAACTTTTGTCTGTGTTTCAGCTGAAGTTTCTGAGAGAGCACCTGGACAGATTATCCAACAGACTCTGCTTCTCCTCCCTACTCTGTCCCGCCCTAGAACACTTGTTCGCACAGGTAACGAACTACTTCACCACACCACACCAGTCACCATCTTCACAAACAGTACAATCCGATACACACCACCAGTGCAAGACATAAATCACAATCTTTCTCTTTCGCTCTTTAGGGGAATTGTTGTTGTCCATTTCTCTTTTAGATTGCAACTCGAATGAAAATCCAGTGTCAACTGAATAGCGATTGTTTTATATTTGAAGTAATACAAAAAACTTGAAAAATTATTGCTTACTGTCCAAGTATCACAGAAGGTTTCATGAAATAGGTTTTGATCTGTTTGGTTTTTTTTCACTCTTAGCAAGCGTTCTGAAGTCGAAATGTAGACTTTTCAAGGTCAACAACTGGTCTAAAAGAGTCATTGGTTTTTTCTCGAATTTTTACTGTATTTATTTATCAAACTGGAATATAGATTTTTTTCGGGTAACAACTTCTGCAGCAATTTAAATTCAAATCATTTAACCAGCAGCTCTGAGTCTAAGCAAATGGCCCGTTGTATGTTTTTACGGAATTTGTCTCTGTTCAACTATACGAAAATTGTTTTTGTTCCGACCATTGAAAATGGGGAGAAACTTTGTATTAGGGTATGTTTTAGATATTTCTTTTTGCTTTTTTTTCCACGGAAAATCAGGTAACACAAACAATGATTGGACTAGGTTGAGTGGCATTTCATAAAAAAGTCATTTAAGTCATGATTCGAACGACATTATAAATTTTTGAAGTTTTCTTCACTGTCGAGAATAACCGGTTTGAATTTTTTGATTTTCAGTCGAACTTCGAGCTAATACTGCGACAGTATACGCTTACTGAAGCCTAATGTTAGCCTTGAAAACTTAGTTTTTTTCGAGTTCAGTTATTTCCTGGAGTTTTTGTGCGCAATTTTTGAAACCAAAAACTTGAAAACTTTTAAAAATGTTCTTTCCGTTTTTCCAGTCATTTTTTTTCAATAACTGTTTTTTTAATGACCTATTCTACTATGATTATCAAATACGCCTAAATTTTTGTTTTATTTAAGGTTTCTTCATTACAACATGCGGAAAAAAAGACAACAGTTTTCTTTAAAAAAAACCTTTTTTTTTAATTAAAAATATCTGTTTACTGTCCAAGTATCACAGAAGGTTTCATGATAAAGTTTTTGATCTGCTAAGTTTTTTTTTCACGCTCAGCAAGCGTTGTCAAGTCGAAATGTAGACTTTTCAAGGTCAAAACTGGTCTAAAAGAGTCATTGGTTTTTTCTCGAATTTTTATTGTATTTATTTATCAAACTGCAATAAAGATTTTTTTCGGGTTACAACTACTGCAGCAATTTAATTTCGAATCTTTTAACCAGCAGCTCTGAGTCTGAGCATAGTGTCCGTTGTATTTTTTCACGGAATTTGTCTCTGATGAACTATACGAATTTCGTTTTTGTTCCGACCATAGAAAATTGGGAGGAACTTTGTATTCGGGTGTTTTAGGTGTTTCTTTTTTGCTTTTTTTTTCACGCAAAGTTAGGTACCACCAAGATTAGTTGGACTGGTTTGAGTGATGTGTCATAATAAAGCCATTTCGGTCGTGACTCGAACGACATTAGCAAATTTTGAAAATTTTTTTTCACAATGTCGAGAAAAACCGGTTTGAAACTTTTGTTGATTTTTGGTCGAATTTCGAGCTAATAGGTCGACAGTATATGCTTACTGATGCTTATTTTTAACCGTGAAAACTCAGTTTTATTCTGCTAAAGGTAGTTTTTGGAGTTTTAGCGCAATTTTGGGAACCAAAAACATAAAAACTCAAAAAAAAATTTGCAAAAAATGAAGCATTTTAAAATTTTTCTTTCTTTTTATCCAGTCTTTTTTTTTCAAAAACTGTATTTCAGTTGACCTATTTTACTATGACTATCAAATTTGAACAAATTTTTTTTCTAGTTCACAATTTTTTATCACAACATGCAGAAAAAAAGACCAGTCCTCAAAAAAAAGTTTTTTGTGTTTTCAAAGACCAGTTTTTTTGTGTTTTTTTTTGTATTTAAAATACTGTTTAGTGTCCAAGTATCGGAGAAGGTTTCATGAAAAAGTTTTGATATGTTTAGTACTTTCACGCTTAGCAAGCGTTTTCAGTTCGAATGTTGATTTTTCCCAGGCAAGCAACTTGTCATTGTAAAAAAGAGTTATTCGCTTTTTTCTCGAATATTTACCTTTTTTCGTTCATCAATTTGGAATATAGACGTTTTTTCGGGTAACAACTTCTGTTTGAAAACTACTCCGAAACAATATGCCAGTAGCTCTGAGTGTGAGCATATGGGCCGTTGTATGTTTTCACGGAATATCTCTGTTCAACTATACGAAATTTGTTTTTGTTCCGACATTTGAAATTGGGGAGGCATTTTGTATTCGGGTATTTTAGATATTTCTTTTGGTTTTTTTATGGAAAGTCAGGTAACACAAACATTGGCTGAAATATGCTGAGTGATATTACATTTAAAAGCCATTTTAGTCGTGATTCGAACGACATTAGAAAATTTTGAAATATTTTTTAATGTCGAGAAAAACCGGTTTGAATTTTTGTTTTGACTTTTGGTCGAAATTCGAGCTAATACGACGTGAGTATATGCTTACTTAAGCTCGTTTTTAGCCGTGAAAACTTAGTTTTAATCTAGCTAAAGTTTTTTCTGGAGTTTTTGTGCGAAATTTTGGGAACCAAAAACTTGAGAACTCAAAAAAAATTTGAACTTTTCATAAGTTTTTCCTTCCGTTTTTCCAGTCATTTTTTAATAACTGTCTTTCAATTTTCTTTTTTACTATGACTATCCAGTATGCCTACATTTTATTTTGTATCTAAGGTTTTTTTATCACAACATGCAGAAAAGAAGACAACAGGTTTTTTTTTAAAAAAAAAACTTTTTTTTGTGTGTTTTCTTTTGTAATAAAAATTACTGTTTACTGTCCACAGAAGTATCACAGAAGCTTTCATGGAAATGGTTTTGGTTTAGTCTTTTTCACGCTTAGCAAGCGTGGTCAATTCGAAGGTAGAATTTTTCCAGCTAAACAACTTGTCAAAAAGAGTGTTTCACTTTTTTCCGTGTGTTTTAGATATTCGTGTGTTTTAGATATTTCTTTTTGTTTTTTTTTTCACGGAAAATCAGGTAGCACAAATGTGATGAAATTGGTATTAAAAACAACGGTAATCACATCCCCAACTCTCTGAAAAACACAAACATGACAATTATATAAAAACAAGTACAAGATAAAACTGTAACAATATCCCCATCAGTTTAAATGGTTGAAGCGGTCGTTTCAAACCTGCGGAACGGGATGCTCGCGTGTAGCGAATCTATTTAACCTGCTCTGTCGCTGGTGTGTAATTCAATGAAAATCAAATTAATCACAACCGTGCGAAAAAATCCATGTAATTTCATACCAAATGCTGCGCGTTGAACGCGTTAAATGAATACATTATAACAGCTGCAAATAGATCTTCTTGTACAATTGACTCGCAAAATTCCTGGAAATTAACACACCGTTTCTCCCAGGTAAATAAATGGTTTTAAAGGTAAAATTAACGCGTCTAACGAGTAAAAATAACGAGTTGAATAACTGCGTCAAATACATCTTGTAAAATTGAAACGCAAACTTCCTGGAAATTAACACACCATTTCTCCCTGATAAATAAATGGTTTAAAAAGGTAAAAATAACGCGATTTCTTTCCGGTTTCCGCGAAAAACAGAAAAAACGTAATCCTTGCGTGATATTGCGGTAAATCGAAGGGAAAACGACAGTTTTTCATGATTTTTAGCAGCATTTCTCCACTCTTTTGGTTGCATTTAGTCAGGCCATCTGCAAGTTGAGGATTAGAGGGTACCCAGCGCAAATACTTGAATTCTCGCTCATCAATCATGCAGCGTAAAAACGTTTTATCGACACGTAATCACTTATCCTGAGCCGTTTTTGTCGAATTAACGGCATCAACTAATGCTTTACCATCGACAAATGCCACGATTGGGACAAGAAATCCCAATAGCTCCTGGAGTAATTTCTGGGTGAATAACGCAGCATCCATACCATCAATACAGGCAGCAATCTCGGCGGAAGTCGTGCTTCGTGCGACTCTTCTAATTCGTTTAGACTGCCAGTCGACCAAGTATCAGGTACCTTCTTGCTCTAAAAACACAAGAAAAACCCCCATGTGTGCCTCCATCGTGCAAATTGCCCAGAGCAGCATCGAGAACCCAATAGGTTTCCACTTCTCATGGTTTTGCAGTTTCAGGAACCGTAGTTGTCAGTGAGACGTGGTAGCTTGTGATCTTCGTATAACTTTGTTGAGAGTCCATTAATCATTCAAATCGGCGGTGCAAGTTTTCGCTAACAGAGCTAGTCGAAAACGACAAATCTGGACGCGTTTGATTCGCAACCCACTGCAGTTTCCCCAAAGCTAAACGCATGTGGCTTCTAATTTCGTTGCCGGGACCAATACTGCTTTCTTCGATCTCTGACACATCCTTAGCGTAATGCACTTGATCGATCGTCAAGTACCGGTCGAGTCTGGCAATATCGAGTCCGAGATACCGAAATGGAAGGAAAGTCGTTGACTTGATGTCGAAAATAGATTGCACACGCTCTGATATGTGCTCCCCGAACTCAACCGAGCCAGCCCACCAGAAGTCATCCAAATGGGTAGAAACACAGCCACGTAATTTATTGTCTTGAAAATACAGAAACACAAATCAAAACGTGACTGCTTGAAACCGGTGGATATTAATTCTTTGGACGCGTTCAAACCAGTGCCTGGCAACATCTGCCAGACCGTAGGCACATTTGTGAAGCTTCCACTGTACATTTTGATCAGAACCAGGTGCTGGTATCACAAGTACACGCAAGAACAGCGGGTATCACACGTATTACATGTAACGGGAAGAACAGCCGCATACATAGGTTTTATCTTCTCGCGCCATCAAAAATGAAAACAGAAGAGGTTTTCTCGAACTTTACGTCTTGGCCAGTCAAAAAACTGGACTGAAAACGCTCCAACCATTGAATTAAACATAGTGTCGCCGTGCAACCTGTGTGTAAAATTGCAGAACCTGGCGAGTGAGATACAGTATCCGTGTGACTGGCCGAAAACGTGATAAAACTACCTCTTCATCTTCTTTGGTAGTTTCTGTAACAAGAGCGTCCTCTTTTTGTTTCGCATCTGGACAGTTTCTCACGAAGTGAAGAAAGGAACCACAGTTATGACATGTCAGAACTTTGCCTTCTTTTCCCTTTGGATTTGTAGCTCTCATTTGTGATTGACTAGTATTCTGAGAATCGTTATTTCGATAAGAGGCGGCAAAACGGGCTCCCGTTTGACATCTAAAGACTCGGATTTCTCATTCAAATCGCTGTTTGAGAAAATCCTTTTAAGACTGTTCTTCATAGCAGCAAACTCAAGCTTCGGTGTTGCCGAAAGCACCAGCCTTGTATCTCGTTTGTCAATTTCAGCCGCGTACAACAACTTGCAGGCAAGCAAAGCGTCAGGTACCTCAATTCCGTGCTTCTGCAACTTGCCTATCAGCAACTCAAACTGCGCAATATACTCGTCAATAGTTCTAGAAACTCTCTTGAAGGCCTCAAACATCTCTTACATTTCATATGTTTGATCAGCAGTCTCTTTGCCGAGGGCATCACACAATTTATTCAATAATCATGATTACTCTGTCTGATTTCAAATCCGCAATTGGTATAGAAAGCGCAACGTCGCGCTTAGGACCAAGCAAGAGACAGCAACACTGCCGGACCAAGTTTCCCTTTCTGCAGCTTCGTCACTGCTAACCAGAATTCTACTTGCAGTAGCCAAACCTCGTACGGCTTGTCAGTTTCCCCATGTCGGTGGGGTTTTGTTATTTTCATCCAGAGGCCATAATTGTGCTACCATTTGATACAATTGGTATTAGTAAATACGTTAATTACAACCCCACCTCTCTGAAATACAAAAACATTACAATTATATAAAATAAGTTCAAGATGAAACTGTAACAACAAATAATGATTGGACTGGGTTGAGTGATATGTCATTATAAAGCCATTTCAGTCGTGATCGAATAACATTAGAAAAGTTTGATTTTTTTTCACAGTGTCGAGAATAACCGGTTTGAATTTTTTTTATTTTTGGTCGAATTTCGAGTCAATGCGGCGACAGTATATGCTTTCTTAAATTTAATTTTAGCCGTGAAAACTTAGTTTTTTTTTCTAGTAAAGGTAGTTTCTGGAGTTTTATCGGAATTTTAGGACCCAAAAACATGAAAACTCAACAAAAAATTTGCAAAAACAATTGAAACATATAACATTTTTCTTTCAATTTTTCCAGTCATTTTTTCAAAAACTGTATTTCAATTGACCTATTTTACTATGACTATCAAACATGCCTAAATGTTTTTTTTTTAATTCAGATTTTTTTAACAGCATGCAGAAAAAAAAACAATTTTTCCCTTTATTTAAGACTGGTCGGAACATACTGTGCTGCGTAGTAGATGTTGGAGCTGAGGGGGGGGGGATGTTAAAATACGTTATAGGTTGAGGGTGTGCCATGCTATGTATTAACATTGAGTATAGAGTCTGCAATGTATTAAGATAGGAAATAGAATTGGTAAGGTTTCACAGTTTGTGTAATGGTAAGAGAATGGTAATAATTATTTTATATTTTTTGGTTCATGGTAAGTCAATTTAAGAACCTGAGCATACCAACCATAGGTGAAAACTGCCTCCTACTAAATTGACAATTATGTGAACAAAATTGGTTACGGGAAATGAAGTCTAGTACCCGGTTGCAACACCCTCAAGAGTAATTATTCGACAGTCATAGTTAAGTAGGCAAACCGGGAAACGGTTTATGTTGAAAAGTTACTTGAAAAAAAAAACTAAAACTCGATTCAAAAGTTTCAAAAATTATTAAATATCATTCGACACATCCCGATAATTCTTAATGGTAATTTTTTTTGGTTAAAAAACAAATAAACCTGCTCGTTTACCTTCGCTCAAAGTTAGACCAAAATTCAAGAATTTCAAATAGGGTTTTTCTCGACACTTACCAAAGTTTTCAGTAGCGGAGCAAGCGGTCGCAACTTTCCAATGCCGCCTTCAACTTGATTTCAGTTGCACAAAAAACGCTTTTGATTTAGATGCATAGAAACGATAGTTGCATAAAATAGAAATTAAAGAAGCGTAGCATTAAAATACGTTCTATGAAAATGGAGTGTTTGGAAAATAGAATTGAAGGCACCAAAAACTGTTCACATTAATTAAAGTTTAACTTAAGAGCAATCATTAATATTTTTGGTGTTTTTGAAAAATTAACGGCTTTTCTTGTAAATTCTTGTAACGGGGTCGTTTTGGGCTGCATAACACTTTTCCAGTTTTTCGTTGGCTAAATTTGGTGGTTTTTTGTCAGAACAAGGCGGCGTGTTCAACCCAGACGCTCCTGCTGATCTTCAAGACCCTGCATCTCACCCAACTGCAGGAGATAACTGTCAGCCTTGCCCTTCTAGACCACACCTCTTTCTCTTCCCTCTCTCCTCCCCATACTGCCCCTCCTTCTCAATCAGCACCAGCAGTGACCCAGGTGCAGTTGCGCAGCTGTGCCTTCGAGATCCTCAAGTTGAAGGTGGGCGACTTTGCACGTGCATACAGTGACAGCAGCAGCTACCAATCAGGGCAGCAGCTGCACGAGCACTCGGGGGGTTTCGCCGACACTCCAGTGCGCATTCTCTACCAGCTGTTGCGTCTGGTGGCAGAGGGAAGCATCGAACTGCCAGCAGAATTGCACAAGTCTCTCTTCGACTCACTCGAAAACGGTTAGCACCACCTCCAAAAACATACTTCCTTATCAAATACTTAATGGAGCTGCTCAATTTCAGAGATCATGGCACGGCATTTCAGTTTATGTGAGCAGGATTCATTAACCTGTTCTTTTGGTTGAATCCTTAATCCTAGATTTAAATTTTATTTGTAGAAAAGTGAACATGTTTTAGAAACACAGCCAAATTGTCATAAAATGCTTTTTTCGAAGGCCATAATTTTTACTACAAAGAATTAGGGCGTAGCTACCTATGTAAGATTAAGAGAACCTGGTCGGTTGATTGAACCCCAATCTCAGATTTTGGAGTGTAGTCTTCGAGAAAAGTCGTAAATTTTGTCAATAAAAAGTAGCCGCTTATACTTAGAAACTTATGCCTAGAAACAACCTCTTTTTTCAATCAAAGTTTTGAGCTCCAATTTGGCAGAGTAGTTTCCAAGAAAATGGAAAATTCAAAAATCTGGGTCAAAACTTTCCCATTAGAATGTGAAATAAAGTAAAAAGGCGGTAGAAAGTAAAGTAATTCAAAACAAGTAACTAGTTGAGTTTGCAGGCACGCAGATTTTCCTTGGAAGTTCTCGTGAAAAACCAATTTTTTGCGATAAGTGAAAGTTTTCCGAGATGTCTCAAAAAATCCAAGTCCCGATTATTTTTACTAGTGGCGCAGCTAAAGCCGAGGTACCTGTTTTTTTTCGAGAATATTACTGATGCGGAAGACTTCCCCAAGAAAAGTTGTGTACTGGCACCTGTCCTGTACGTCAAAGAGGGCAAACAGTCATAAAATCAAAAATTTCAGTTTTCCTCAATCAATATCATGATTGGCTCAAAACTCTTTGAAATTTTAAAAGTTGTCCCATATATCCTACCGTCATCGATAACCTTTCGTTGACAGATTTTTGAAGGCCATTCTGAAGTCAGCTGCAAGTTCTCGAATGTGACAAGGTTCGGGGTGTAACCCGTCCCAGCTTGTATGCTTCCCATAGTGAAAATACTTATAGCCGAAACAAGGTATTCTCAGTTCATGTGCTAGGTCACGGTAGTATCCATTCAAGTGGTTGATTTTGTCATACTTTTTCCTTGTGAGAAGCTTGAGGAGCAAAAATTTTTTATCTAAGTGTTTTGAAGATAACTTGAGTTTGTAAGTTGTTATAATAAAACCTTTTTTTCCGGCTCAACCTGTGTCTCCTCAAGAATTGTCGGCTTTTTACCGCTCTATAATTTTTGTTTTGATACTTATTTTATATTCATTTTTTTACTAGACTTATTTTTATGAATGGAGTTTTTCTTTTTTCTTTCGAATTTCTTCTACAGTTATCACCTCGGATATTTTTGTCGGATAATTTGTCCTGCTATGCATGGGTTTTTAGCATGCAGCGCGATCCTTCGCCTTGCCTCTGTCCGTAAAATTTTCAAAGGTGTTTTTTTTTCAGCTCCAGGATTTTAGATGATTTTATAATTTTTGAGAATATTTATTTGGAAGTTTGTTGTTTATTTGTCGGTTCTTCTCCATGTAGTGAGAGTCATTAAATTTTCTGTCACATGTGGTGCGAAGCTCTGCTTCGCCTCTGTTTATAAGCATGCGAGAATGTAATTTTTTTTTCGAAAACAATACTAAATGTAACGGTACGTTTTGTGTGCAAATCGTAAGTGGCTCTCAATTCAGACCATGTTGGTAGTTTGGCTTTGAACTGAGAAAGGATCTATGCTGGGGCTGATGAATATCGATATTAATTTTTTTTCCAATAATCCTTATTGATGAGCATTGGTGTGTAGTGCAATACATGTGTTGTGTGCTTCAGAGTTCCCCAAGAAAAGTTGTGTACTGGCACCTGCCCTGTACGTCAAAGAGGGCAAACAGTCATAAAATCAAAAATTTCAGTTTTCCTCAATCAATATCATGATTGGCTCAAAATTTTTTGAAATTTTAAAAGTTGTCCCATATATCCTACCTTCATCGATGACGTTTCTTTGACAGATTTTTGAAGGCCATTCTGAAGTCAGCTGCAAGCACTCGAATGTGACAAGGTTCGGGGTGTAACCCGTCCCAGCTTGTATGCTTCCCATAGTGAAAATACTTAAAGCCGAAACAAGGTATTCTCAGTTCATGTGCTAGGTCACGGTAGTATCCATTCAAGTGGTTGATCTTGTCATACTTTTTCCTTGTGAGAAGCTTGAGGAGCAAAAAATTTTTATCCAAGTGTTTTGAAGATAACTTGAGTTTGTAAGTTATAATAAAATCTTTTTTCCGGCTCAACCTGTGACTCCTCAAGAATTGTCAGCTATTTACCGCTCTATAATTTTTGTTTTGATAATTATTTAATATTCATTTTTCTACTAGACTTATTTTATGAATGGAGTTTTTCTTTTTTTTTCGAATTTTTTCTACAGTTATCACCTCGGATATTTTTGTCGGATAATTTATCCTGCTATGCATGGGTTTATAGCATGCAGCGCGATCCTTCGCCTTGCTTCTGTCCGTAAAATTTTCAAAGGTGCATTTTTTCAGCTCCAGGGTTTTATATGATTTTATAATTTTTGAGAATATTTATTTGGAAGTTTGTTGTTTATTTGTCGGTTCTTCTCCATGTAGTGAGATTCATTAAATTTTCTGTCACATGTGGTGCGAAGCTCTGCTTCGCCTCTGTTTAAAAGCATGCGAGAATGTGATTTCTAGTTTTATTTTTCGAAAACAATACTAAATGTAACGGTACGTTTTTATGCAAATCGTAAGTGGCTCTCAATTCAGACCATGTTGGTAGTTTGACTTTGAACTGAAAAAGGATCTGTGTTTGGGCTGATGAATATCGATATTAAATTCCTTTCCAATAATTCTTATCGATGAGCATCGGTGTGTAGTGCAATACATGTGTTGTGTGCTTCAGACTTCCCCAAGAAAAGTTGTGTACTGGCACCTGCCCTGTACGACAAAGAGGGCACTTCTCTGGACACTGTGTTGTCTGCCAACACAGCAACTATGGTAAGCTGGCCCCAATCGCGGGTTGCTCTATTGATGTGTGTATTGTCGTGCGTGTGTAAATCGTTGCGTCTCTCGTCTAGGCTGAGATGAGTTTGGCCAGTGTGATCGAGAACTTGGGCCCGACTTCTCTGCACAGTGGCGATGACGTCATCAAGGTGTTGCAGGAGTTCGGAGTGCACAGAGTGTCCGACTACCAGGTGGCTCTGGTCATCACACGCATGACCAACCTCTCCATGGCCATCAATGTGGCCAACGATGTCCAACTGCAGTCGCTGGCCAGCTCTGGCTGGTCCAACTCCAGTTTGGAACAGGGACTGGATGCGTCCAAGGCCACTTGTTCGGCTGCAGGCTGGAATCCACGTGTGTTTGTGGCGGCTGTGAAAGGCGTCGTGAAGACAGTGAACTGGGCTCAGGTGGTCAAACAACTGGATAACGATCAGTTCCTTGTGAGAGGGCCAGAGTCACTGGCTATTGTGATGGGCGCCATGGAGGCTATGAACATGGGCTCTGCGGCTGACAACTGGACTAACTTCCCCATCGACTTCTTGTTGTCTCAATGGTCAAATATTAGGGGACAGGTGAGTCGCAAGGAGAGATGTTCTGTTCTACTACCAGTTTAAAGGAAACATGTAGTGCTGTTAAATGCAGTAAATAATGCAGTCAATGTTCAATTCCAGCTGTCGTGGATCGAGGCCTTAATCCAGAGCTACGATCCCAGGGCCACGGACTCGTTCAGCTTCGGACTATTTCCAGCCAAACTGTTGAGCACCGCGGAGAGCAAGCTGTTCGATGAGAACCAGATTGCTAAGCCACCCATCGCCACCTGGTAATATTAATGCGTGGATTAATCCTGCCCAATTGGAACTGGTTGGTGTTGGTTAACAGGAGTGGCTGACTGAGTAAGTGCGTGTGTGTTTAGGAAGTGTGTGGATCTGCTGGCGTGTCTGTTGCGTGCTGGCTCCCCACTTGCGGCCTCAAACTCCAAACTGTTCGACTCTGTTCGCTCTCTCTTCAACTACCCTGTCAAGAACTGTCCAGACGTACTTTTCTTCACCCTCCTACATGTAAGCAGACGTCGTTCACGACTCATCTGTCCTTTCCCCGTTCACATGTCGCGCTTTTTCCACATTTATGCATGAGGATTGGTTGGAGGGCAATGGGAAATATGCGACACTTCGTAGCGTTAAGCGGTCAAATTCCTAAATGCGAGTTCCTCATCCAGAACAAGATCAGATTCTTTTTTTCCTATTCGTGGGTTAAACATTTTACAAGCAAAGTTTGTGTGATAGTATGACCTCTTTTTTCCAACCTAAGTCGCAAATATTGTTGCGACAAAATGTGTTCATTTTGAGAGGGTCGAATCCCCTCAGGGATTTGGCCCTCTGTCGACCCAAAGGGTCAACCCTTTGTTTTATTTTGAGATATCCATTTTTGGCGGACTGACCCTAAAAATTTTTTAAAGGCGCCTTTGGCACCAATATACATTAGTTTTGATGGGGGGCGTACCGAAAAAGTCGCGATTTTCCGAAAAGTGCCTAAAAAACGCCGTCAAATTAGGGTATTTATAGTGATTTGATCAATCAGAGCTCAAAAATAAATCAATTTGGTCAACCTAAAAAAAGGTCCACAAAAGTTTTTTCTTTTTGAAAATCCCCCCTTCGAGAATCTCCTAGATCCGCGCCTGACACAGACTATTATATTACAAGAAGCTGCAAATCATCGTGGATCTGTAGCGTAGAGCTAGGGAAGAAGACCCGCAACAAAATAAGAGGGTTTGAATGTGGGTAGGGTCGGATGTTTTTAATGAAATTTTTCGTATACTAGTTAAAATGTGTCTGATCTATAAATTGAGGCATGTTACTTGGTAAATTCCTTTTTTTTCAAATTGGTGCTGCTAATGCGTCATAATTGGCTTGCGTCAGTTAGCACTTATATAGACTCGTAATTGGCGTACGTCTCTTAAGAAATTTTGTAGACTCAAAGTCTTACTCATTCAGTTTTACCCAGCAGAGTTACCGGTCATATTTTTGCTTGTGTATGCGAAGTGCAACTTCGCCTCTGTGTTTAATAAATGTTAACTCAATTTGGAAGTCCCGAAAAGATTAACGTAAATTGTCTCATCTCGGTTAATTTGACATAGCGATCAAACATCTTGCATGTTGTCGCTTGCTGAGAATATTCGTCATAATTGAGTATCGGTAGTCGTTTCTTATGTCGAATGTTGATTAGGTTGACGATGCCAGTGTGGGAGTCTCGTCCTCCTCTGCTGGCTCTTCTCCGGTGAAAGACATTCTGTTTTCCACTCTGGTGACTATGTTCCTGGACAGCAGTCCCAGTGCTGGTGCTGTGCTGCACTGGGCATACCACTTCCAGGCACCGGCATTCCAGCAACCCATCCTCGCTCTCTTCTCCTCCTACTACATGGCCAGGCCTCTGGACGCCGCCCGCATCCACAAACTGCTCGAGGGCTTGCACAATCTGGGACACAAGGTAAACACAGGTGTCCAGTTATTGTGTGAGCAAAGATCACAAAATATACCCTTGTTTTTGGAGCCTAATTAAAAAAAGGCAAACGTTTCCATTTACTCGCTTTAGCTAATGAATATTTACTGAAGCCTAGATATTTTCTGGATTCTTCCAGCTTCAGTTCCCTCGGGAAGTATCCTTCGTTGAAATGATGTGCCTTTGATGTAGTTTGAGATATGAGTATTTGGTATCAAGTAACTGTGTATCTGGTCGCTTCTGTTAGGCTGTGCAGGCAGCTGCCAACACTGGTCCAGTGGCATTTGGCCTGGAAGTGGTGATGCACGGAGCTAACAGAGACTACTTCAACCTGGAGAAGTATCTGAGCGACCGCATTGCAACACACAAGGTCAGACCATACCCAAGTGAACCGCCTGTCTCACTAAACTTTTAACTTCATCGCAGATTTTAAACAACGCAGATTGTTCGCGTATTCCTATAGAGTTAGCCTCTTAAGTTACGCGTCTAATCATCTCCATTCTGCAATTGATTCTTATACTGTTCACTGAGACATTTAATTGTAATTGAACTGAAAACGGATGCTGGCGGCGATATAAACTCAGATAGACTTGCTTTGCAGTTTTCTGCCAAGTGTATTCTATGCCGCCTCAGGCACTAAAGGGTCTACTCGTCACTATCTTCCCACTCAGTTAAGCTCTCTGTGTGTGTATGTGTGTGAAAGTGTGTTTGTGCAGGAGCAGTTTGTGATGGAGTTGATTGCGTTCATTGACGAGAGAGTGTCTCTCTACGTGGCAGGGGCTGAACTGCCGAAAGCACACCTGCACAAACTCAAACACATCATCAACGCCACCCGCCTCCTGTTTGAGACTGTGTCCCACTACTCGGCACAGACGCAGAAGGCGGTGGAGGATCTGGCGAAGAGAGTGAAGCCACTGCAGCAGTGGTTCAGCACTGGCAGACTCATTGTCCCCCCTCCCCACCCTCCTCCGCATCCGCCCCTCCACCACCACCATCTCCACCAGCAGCAGCAGCCCAACTTCGCCCCTGCAACAGCCTCTGCAGTGAGCAACAACAGCAGTAACCCACTGGGAACAGGCATGGCCGTGAGGGGCACAGGGAGTCCCATATATGGACAATCCTCCTCCCAATCCATGGGCCCTCTCCACTCCTCCAACCCCCCTCTACAACATCACACTGTGGGGGGTATGGGCAATCAGAAGGATGTGGGTGGATCAGCAGTTGCAGCACTCTCTCATTTACACAGTAAGCTCCGCTCAGATGCTGCGTATTAGATTACGCAAAACAAAACTAAGCGAGTGCATTTATCGGCTCTTACTAGATTTTAAAAAGCTGCCAACCAATGTCACACTATGTGGAAAAAAATGACAGAGCCTAATTTATTGTTATATGCTCGAGTGTCAATCTCAACGAGCAGAGTTTCTGAATTAATTTGAGCTAAGAGTCATTTGAAAATCATATTGGGCCAAGTTTGAAAAAGCTGCCCTTTTCTGTGGCGATAATTGTTTGTTTTGCGTGTCTTAGATTTGAGTGTAGGACCATATGGGTCATCTAAACTTTCATCATCGGCAGCAGCAGTCCATTCCATTAAACCTGGACTGAGTTCATCCGCTTCGGTGGCCTCCGGCGGAGACTTCATGGCATCCCAACAACAGCAACCACCGTTCACATCCGCACTGAGCTTGGGTACAGGCAGTGGACTCACTCTGGCAAATGCACCCTCCCCCACTACATCTGCTGCGGGCGATGTGGGTGGATCTGTGCTGAAGCAGCGCGAGTTCTCTGGGGAAATAGAGACGGAGACTAATAATTACTTCATGCGTATCTACAGCCAGTCCAATCCTCTACCCCACATAAACCAAGTGCTGGAACTACTGAAGAACTACAAGAACTCCTCACTGCCCCGAGACAAGGTGAAGGCGCGATCGAGTTGAGAGAACCAGTCCGCCAGTACTGCAATAGGGGGAGGGGTGGGGGTTACAGTAGGGTGCGGTACCGTGCGTAAACGAAAACTGCACGTACGGTTACGGTCGAAAAGTCAATTGTGGCTCCTGTAAACAATAGTTTTCCTGTAAACAACTATTCTCACAAATCTTACTTTTTTTTCTTAGTTGCTTTATTATTACAAAACCAAAGCTTGTGCGATAGTATGAACGCTCTTTTTTTCCAAACTCAGTAGCAAATATTAGTGTTCATTTTGAAATGTTTTTTATTGCAGTATGTGCATAAGATCAATAACCAGCTATTAAGTACAGCCAATGCTAAGAATATTAACACAGACTATTATTAAGAGTAATGAACGTAGTGAGTACTCTTATATAGGGCTTGCTGATTTTTTTTGTTTTTTTTTCGGGTAAAAGTTTTAATTTGTTCCCGCTCAATTTTGATTTTTCGCGGTTTGACGTGTGATTTTTTTTCAAGTTCAGTGCATTTCCTTTTTTTAAAAAGAAGGTAAACTCCACTACTCAACAGCAAAAGTGTAAAGGTTACGAAAAACGGGATCGACTTCTCATTTCGAAAATGGAAATGAATTATCAGATTTCCCAGCGAAATAAAAGTTTTGCCTATTGATCCAGTTTTCTCAAATTGGGTTAGTTTTATTAAAATGTCTATGACAAATTGTTCTACAAATTCAAAGAGTTTTCAGGCAGTTTACTTTTTTCGAAATTCAATAGTTTTTGAAAAAAAAAACAAGTCAGTTTTTTTTCAGTTTCCTTGCGTTCTTTACTCTTCCAATCTTCGATTGGCTTTGTTATTACAAATAGCACTTTAGCGTCAAGGTATAATGGATCTGTAGCGTAGATGTAGGGAAGGATAGCCGCAACCAAATTAGAGGACTCGAACCTGGGCACGGTCCCATGTTTTAATGAACTTTTTGGTATACTAGTTAAAATGCGTCCGCTCTATAAATTGAGGCATATTATTTGGTAAATTTCTTTTTTCTTCAAATTGACTGGTTTTGCTAACGTGTAATGATGGCGTGCGTCACTTAGCAAGTTGTAGACTCATAATTGGCGGTCTTCATTTTTTAAATTATGTAGACTCAAAGTTTGCTCATTCAGTTTTCCCAGAAGCGTTATCGGTCATTTTTTGCTTGCATCTCCGAAGTGCAACTTTGGCTCTGTTTTGAACCTCAGAAATATCCACGTTCCTTCATAACTCGCCTAGAGGCACGTGGTCGCCATTGCAATTTGGGGTTTGAGTCCCGGCTAGACATTGTTTTTTCTTGTATGTTAGAAATTTAAGTTTGTTTCATAACGTTGGATTTCAGACAGATTATTGTCTTATTTATCATGCTTTTTTAAGACATAATTAGAAGGTACCGTATCAGTTTTTTTCAAAAAATATGAAATTTGTCTTGTCATATTTGCAGTATCCACCAGGTTATTTTTGCTGCTGGCGTTTCACTGCTGACTGGATCCCTCTGAACTCCCCGTTTTTGTTTCCGAATTAGTTGGAGTCTGGGAAGGCATCTTTTATGAGTGCTAAACTCTTGGATGTTTTTGAAATGATGAAAAACTACGATCAATAACAATTTGCTGAACGTTCTGTCCTCTAGTTTTAAGTTTTTTCTTCTAGTTAGTGAAACTCAGCTTTAGTTTTCTGGTTTGATACAACTGCAAAGAATTGATCTTAGAGAGCGGTAGGTCTTGACTTGGCTGGGCTTTCGTTGCTCCTTTTTCAACCAATCGTAAAAAGCGCTGCCTTTCTGTGAAGCTCAACGATCTTTCAAATCACTCTGCGGTAAGTGATAGGAGCAGACTGTCTGGTACTTGCCTTGAATATCTTTTACTCGTGGATACCTTTTTTCATGCGTTTTTTCTAGTTTCCTGTCTAGGAAATCTGTCAAAACTGAAGTATTCGTTCACATGGATGTATGAATATTCGCCATCCTCCCATACAATATCATGCAATTGGTAGTTTCCCAAATGGCATAAATACCATATGGCAAAAAATGAAACTTATCCCAACTGGAATAAATCAAACGTTTTCTATCAATTTCGAATTTAAAATTTTGTCAGGAACGAAAACGTGAGCAAGATTTTGATTTAATTACTTCGAAACAAATGCTAAGTGACAAAGTTGTCGGAAAAATTGACCACAAGAAGCTTATCAATAACCGCAAGCTTATGCTTTTCGCTTTTGATTTAAAATCAGAAAAGATTTTCAAGATAAAATGTCAGTCAACGTTTGAATTGACAAGTTGAATAGTTTTTTCACATTGTTCACGAAAAAGGTTTGGGTCTTATGCACAAAACGACCCAAAAATCAATCTTTCTGCATCTTTCTTGAACTCAAAGTAATACCGTTGAATCTGATTCGCTAATCAGACACTCAAACTCAAACAAAGTTTTTCGGCGTTTCAATTAAAATTTCCAGCAGATAAAATTGTTGGCCGGAATAACCAAAATCAAAAACTTTTTTTTCTGCTGAATCTATTTAAAGAAATTTTTCTCGTCCGGGCTAAATTACCCCAAATACTTGAAGAAAAATTATTTATAGACGAAGCTTCACATATTGGTAATTTCGGCTAATATTTTTATCTGCTCGGAAGTTTTGATTGAATTGCCTGAACAAGTTGCTTGAATTTGAATGGCTAATATTAGCCAATCAGATTTGGCTGCATAAGTTGTAACTCAACATATGAAAACATTGATTTTGGGCCGTTTTGTGCATAAGACCCAAAGTTTTTCGCGATTTTTTCAATGCAACTGTTGTATGAAAACTATACCATTTGGGAAACTTTTCATTTTTATGCCATTTGGGAATTATGCCTTTTGAGACGTAATCATGCAATTGATTGGTTAACCGATTGAAAGATTTCTGTTATAAAGGAAGCCTTCAAAAACAAGTACGAATGGTCATTCACTCAACATTCCAGTAAATGTTACATTTTCTTGCAAGTTTTGATGTAATGAGCAACTGCAGTGAGCAACAACAGCAGTAACCCACTGGGAACAGGCATGGCCGTGAGGGGCACAGGGAGTCCCATATATGGACAATCCTCCTCCCAATCCATGGGCCCTCTCCACTCCTCCAACCCCCCTCTACAACATCACACTGTGGGGGGTATGGGCAATCAGAAGGATGTGGGTGGATCAGCAGTTGCAGCACTCTCTCATTTACACAGTAAGCTCCGCTCAGATGCTGCGTATTAGATTACGCAAAACAAAACTAAGCGAGTGCATTTATCGGCTCTTACTAGATTTTAAAAAGCTGCCAACCAATGTCACACTATGTGGAAAAAAATGACAGAGCCTAATTTATTGTTATATGCTCGAGTGTCAATCTCAACGAGCAGAGTTTCTGAATTAATTTGAGCTAAGAGTCATTTGAAAATCATATTGGGCCAAGTTTGAAAAAGCTGCCCTTTTCTGTGGCGATAATTGTTTGTTTTGCGTGTCTTAGATTTGAGTGTAGGACCATATGGGTCATCTAAACTTTCATCATCGGCAGCAGCAGTCCATTCCATTAAACCTGGACTGAGTTCATCCGCTTCGGTGGCCTCCGGCGGAGACTTCATGGCATCCCAACAACAGCAACCACCGTTCACATCCGCACTGAGCTTGGGTACAGGCAGTGGACTCACTCTGGCAAATGCACCCTCCCCCACTACATCTGCTGCGGGCGATGTGGGTGGATCTGTGCTGAAGCAGCGCGAGTTCTCTGGGGAAATAGAGACGGAGACTAATAATTACTTCATGCGTATCTACAGCCAGTCCAATCCTCTACCCCACATAAACCAAGTGCTGGAACTACTGAAGAACTACAAGAACTCCTCACTGCCCCGAGACAAGGTGAAGGCGCGATCGAGTTGAGAGAACCAGTCCGCCAGTACTGCAATAGGGGGAGGGGTGGGGGTTACAGTAGGGTGCGGTACCGTGCGTAAACGAAAACTGCACGTACGGTTACGGTCGAAAAGTCAATTGTGGCTCCTGTAAACAATAGTTTTCCTGTAAACAACTATTCTCACAAATCTTACTTTTTTTTCTTAGTTGCTTTATTATTACAAAACCAAAGCTTGTGCGATAGTATGAACGCTCTTTTTTTCCAAACTCAGTAGCAAATATTAGTGTTCATTTTGAAATGTTTTTTATTGCAGTATGTGCATAAGATCAATAACCAGCTATTAAGTACAGCCAATGCTAAGAATATTAACACAGACTATTATTAAGAGTAATGAACGTAGTGAGTACTCTTATATAGGGCTTGCTGATTTTTTTTGTTTTTTTTTCGGGTAAAAGTTTTAATTTGTTCCCGCTCAATTTTGATTTTTCGCGGTTTGACGTGTGATTTTTTTTCAAGTTCAGTGCATTTCCTTTTTTTAAAAAGAAGGTAAACTCCACTACTCAACAGCAAAAGTGTAAAGGTTACGAAAAACGGGATCGACTTCTCATTTCGAAAATGGAAATGAATTATCAGATTTCCCAGCGAAATAAAAGTTTTGCCTATTGATCCAGTTTTCTCAAATTGGGTTAGTTTTATTAAAATGTCTATGACAAATTGTTCTACAAATTCAAAGAGTTTTCAGGCAGTTTACTTTTTTCGAAATTCAATAGTTTTTGAAAAAAAAAACAAGTCAGTTTTTTTTCAGTTTCCTTGCGTTCTTTACTCTTCCAATCTTCGATTGGCTTTGTTATTACAAATAGCACTTTAGCGTCAAGGTATAATGGATCTGTAGCGTAGATGTAGGGAAGGATAGCCGCAACCAAATTAGAGGACTCGAACCTGGGCACGGTCCCATGTTTTAATGAACTTTTTGGTATACTAGTTAAAATGCGTCCGCTCTATAAATTGAGGCATATTATTTGGTAAATTTCTTTTTTCTTCAAATTGACTGGTTTTGCTAACGTGTAATGATGGCGTGCGTCACTTAGCAAGTTGTAGACTCATAATTGGCGGTCTTCATTTTTTAAATTATGTAGACTCAAAGTTTGCTCATTCAGTTTTCCCAGAAGCGTTATCGGTCATTTTTTGCTTGCATCTCCGAAGTGCAACTTTGGCTCTGTTTTGAACCTCAGAAATATCCACGTTCCTTCATAACTCGCCTAGAGGCACGTGGTCGCCATTGCAATTTGGGGTTTGAGTCCCGGCTAGACATTGTTTTTTCTTGTATGTTAGAAATTTAAGTTTGTTTCATAACGTTGGATTTCAGACAGATTATTGTCTTATTTATCATGCTTTTTTAAGACATAATTAGAAGGTACCGTATCAGTTTTTTTCAAAAAATATGAAATTTGTCTTGTCATATTTGCAGTATCCACCAGGTTATTTTTGCTGCTGGCGTTTCACTGCTGACTGGATCCCTCTGAACTCCCCGTTTTTGTTTCCGAATTAGTTGGAGTCTGGGAAGGCATCTTTTATGAGTGCTAAACTCTTGGATGTTTTTGAAATGATGAAAAACTACGATCAATAACAATTTGCTGAACGTTCTGTCCTCTAGTTTTAAGTTTTTTCTTCTAGTTAGTGAAACTCAGCTTTAGTTTTCTGGTTTGATACAACTGCAAAGAATTGATCTTAGAGAGCGGTAGGTCTTGACTTGGCTGGGCTTTCGTTGCTCCTTTTTCAACCAATCGTAAAAAGCGCTGCCTTTCTGTGAAGCTCAACGATCTTTCAAATCACTCTGCGGTAAGTGATAGGAGCAGACTGTCTGGTACTTGCCTTGAATATCTTTTACTCGTGGATACCTTTTTTCATGCGTTTTTTCTAGTTTCCTGTCTAGGAAATCTGTCAAAACTGAAGTATTCGTTCACATGGATGTATGAATATTCGCCATCCTCCCATACAATATCATGCAATTGGTAGTTTCCCAAATGGCATAAATACCATATGGCAAAAAATGAAACTTATCCCAACTGGAATAAATCAAACGTTTTCTATCAATTTCGAATTTAAAATTTTGTCAGGAACGAAAACGTGAGCAAGATTTTGATTTAATTACTTCGAAACAAATGCTAAGTGACAAAGTTGTCGGAAAAATTGACCACAAGAAGCTTATCAATAACCGCAAGCTTATGCTTTTCGCTTTTGATTTAAAATCAGAAAAGATTTTCAAGATAAAATGTCAGTCAACGTTTGAATTGACAAGTTGAATAGTTTTTTCACATTGTTCACGAAAAAGGTTTGGGTCTTATGCACAAAACGACCCAAAAATCAATCTTTCTGCATCTTTCTTGAACTCAAAGTAATACCGTTGAATCTGATTCGCTAATCAGACACTCAAACTCAAACAAAGTTTTTCGGCGTTTCAATTAAAATTTCCAGCAGATAAAATTGTTGGCCGGAATAACCAAAATCAAAAACTTTTTTTTCTGCTGAATCTATTTAAAGAAATTTTTCTCGTCCGGGCTAAATTACCCCAAATACTTGAAGAAAAATTATTTATAGACGAAGCTTCACATATTGGTAATTTCGGCTAATATTTTTATCTGCTCGGAAGTTTTGATTGAATTGCCTGAACAAGTTGCTTGAATTTGAATGGCTAATATTAGCCAATCAGATTTGGCTGCATAAGTTGTAACTCAACATATGAAAACATTGATTTTGGGCCGTTTTGTGCATAAGACCCAAAGTTTTTCGCGATTTTTTCAATGCAACTGTTGTATGAAAACTATACCATTTGGGAAACTTTTCATTTTTATGCCATTTGGGAATTATGCCTTTTGAGACGTAATCATGCAATTGATTGGTTAACCGATTGAAAGATTTCTGTTATAAAGGAAGCCTTCAAAAACAAGTACGAATGGTCATTCACTCAACATTCCAGTAAATGTTACATTTTCTTGCAAGTTTTGATGTAATAGCAGATCACTATTTCTGATAAATGTAAAAGCTGCTGTTTTCCAGAGTAACCAGTTTGATTATGGCCGTCTTTCGTGATAAGTTTCTAACTAAAGCAAACCCACTGCGTCGTGTAGAATTGCTCGAAGAGGCCGGATTTTTGAGAGATATTATTCAGCGATGAGTTGTCATTATCTATCAAACCGCCATAGAGTCTGAGGTTCAAAGCAATATCATAGGTAATTTCTTTTCGGTTGTAGAATAGACTACAAGCAGTGAGAAAATAATTATTACGATCAGTGTTTTCAGTGTACGATTTTTTAAAGCCAAGGTTAATTCAATTGATTATCTCCAATTCCGCTTTTGTAGCCATTGGTTTTTGAAATCGTACCATTTTTTTAAACTAAACTGATTTTCAGATACCAATTTCTATAGTAACGCAAATCACACTTTCTTCCGTGGCTAACGAAGTTTTTAAGTTTGTGTTAATTTTTATTTCATTTTTCTTCAATTTTGTTTTCACACCAAATATTCACCACCAAACACATGTTTCGTTGATTCAGATGTACCTCTATTTGACTAGGCAGTTGGAAAGCTCAAGTTTAATTCTTGTTCCAACATACTCATAGGGTTTGGTATTTCCCTACCACTTACTCTTATATAACAATTTTAAAACCACACACACACATGAATCTTTCTTTTCATATGACTAAGGATATCTTTTAAACCGAAAACCCTTTCCAAGCTTATTTCAGTGTTGTTTTTTTTTCCTGTAAAATTTTCGACGGTACCACTAGATGGTTTTGGTTTTTTTTTCATTCAGTACGGTTCCCTGCCCTGCTGTAAAACAACCCCCACCCCCAGGCGCGGATCTAGAAATTTCTCGAGGGGCGAATTTTCAAAAAAAAAAAATTATCAATTTTTTTTTAGGTCGACCAAATTGATTTTCTGAGCTCTCGCAGACCACTATAAAGACGCTAATTTGACCAAAATTTATGCACCGCAGGCAAATTTTCAAAAAAAGGCCAACAAATGCGTTATTAGGCACTTTTTAGAAAATTTCGACCTAAAAACCGCGTTTTTCGGCGCGTGCTCCCCCCTTTTACCTAGTATAAATTGGCGCCGAACGCGCCTTTAGAAAAAAACTTTAGAACGCCTTTAGAAAGTCAGGCAGCCAAAAATGGATATCTCAAAATCGTACAAAGGGGGACTCTTTGGGTCGGCAGGGGGTCAAGTCTCTGAGATGGGGGACGTCCCCCCTAAATCCGCTACTGCCCACACTTGTTCGAGTACCGGCGGATAACTATACTACTATTAGGTAACCAAATCAGGAAAAACGAACAGCAATCAACTGATGTTATAGTGGAAATTGTTTCTTTATCAGCCATTACCCTTTTGATTGTTCAGTTTTGAGTAGGTGTGTTCCCTGTGCCGTTTCTTCTACTGCCCATTCTATCTCCATTTCGCTTGCTTATGTAGGACATCTACCTGTGCATGATGCGCAATCTGCTGGAAGAGTACCAGTTCTTCGAGCAGTATCCGGACAAGGAGTTGCACACCACTGCCCTGCTGTTCGGGGGAGTGATCCAGGAGGGGCTGATGGAGGGGGAGGCACTGCGGGTGGCACTGCAGTACATACTGGACACCCTGAAGGACAAAGCAGACCACAAAAACATGTTCCTGTTCGCCCTCACTTCTCTCGACCGACTCAGCCCCTCTCTTCACCTCCACCCACACTTCTGCGCCCGACTGGCTGCACTGCCCTGCTTCGACAGCTTCTCTCAGCACCTCAAAGACGTCAGTAAAACTTATTCTAACACCCATTTGTCTGTAAACTTGAAGAGAGAGGGCCTGTAATCAGGGAGTAGACGTTTTTCTTCTAACATCCTTCTTTCATTTAACAGTCTTTTCTTGATGAATTCACATGTACAGTGCTGATAAAATATAACTGAGTTTTGAGGTTGTCTAGAGTTCGTATCTTCCCCTCAATAAACAAATTTTTCAAGTACGGTCTAGAGCGTTTTTTTTTAACTTGAAACTGTTTTAAAAAAGTTTTCAAATGTCGGACTATCGTTTGTCTGCGTACTACATAAGACTTATTGCTGAAAACTTCCATTTTCACCTGCTTTAAGCAATTTTTTTTGAAGTGTTCTCATTTTTAAACAAGCAAAGCTTGTGTCATAGTATGAACTCTTTTTTTTTCAACCGAAGTCGCAAATATTGGTGTAGATTAAATCCTGATGCCACTTTTGGGTCACCTTCACAGCTTTTTCATAGCATGTGCTTTGACAAAGCACAATGTAATAATGTTGGATTAAACACAGCATGTTTTAAATGGCAAGATATTTCGTTTGCATATAAACTCAATTGAAAACGGATGTTAATTTTGCCATAATTTATTGATTTAATTTGCCCGCAATTTATAGGAACTAAATCATCCTTAATTCAATTTTATTACCGTACAGTCGCTTTCCAGCTATCGCAAAGTATAAATTCTGGTCCGCCCCATAACCTAAGGAAACTAAGCACACTGGCTGAGCATACTACAGAAAGTCAAACTACATCAGCTATGGAGAAGCCTAAACGAGCTCAAAGAAACTGTCTGCGAGTTTTGCAACGGCAAATTTCTCAAGTTAGCCACATTTGTGCTACCCTCAATTGTAATCACGACGAGTGGAGCGATGAAACAACCGAGTTTGAGCATTGCTCGGCTCAATCCTCAAATGTTGATCACAAGCTGCTTGACGCTATCACCGTCAATACTTGATGCAGAATACGATCAAGTATTCGATCAATGTCAGAACACACAGAAGGCTGCTTGCCAAACTCTACAAGCGTCAAAGAGAATGATAGCTGCATCAATTCAGCCTATCAACCCTGTTGCAACTATACAGATTGAACCTACAACGATCACACCAAGATTGCCGCAGATCAATCTGCCTAGCCGCAGGCGATTTCACGGCCTGTCTAAGCTTCATTGATCAATTTCGATCAACTGTCCATGACAATGACAAGTTGTCACCGGTTCAAAAATTGACGTATCTTGCTTGACGAACCATACTACTAAGCTCATCTTGAGCTTGGAGACGCCAGAAAGCAACTACGAGATAGCAACTCTGCAAATGCTAGAGCAGAGATATAAAAACGATCCAGTCATCCCTCGAAAGCTTTTGTCACGAATTCACGGATTCACTGCAGTCCGAACGGAGAATTTGTCTCAGCTTCGTCGGCTATACTCAGTCTTCAATGAGACTTCGCAGTTCATCAAGGCACTCGGAAGGTCAGTGGAAAACGATTTGTGGCATTTCCTTCTCGTCGAGAATCTCGAATCTTAGAAGGCATGGGAAACTGCACACGATGGGACTGAAGCTCTTGATAGACCATGGCCATACCGAGAAGGTACCTGTGTCAGATCAATTTCTCCCAGTCGGGAAGTACTTCATCATGCCTCATCATGCTGTTTGGAAGTTGGACTCAGAGCTGTTTTCAACGAATCAGTTGAAAGTAGTTTGAAAGTAGTTCATGCAGTTTGAAAGTAGTTAAGACCTTTTCAACCAGCCAGACCTTTTCAACATTCTTTTCCGGTTCTTCACAATTTGTACAGGCAAATAGGACTATACCCTAAAGACAGAAATCAACATCAGCTCTACTGGAGAAGAGAAGGGAAATCAATTGAGAAGTACCTGATGACTCGTGCCATCTATGCTGTAGCTTCAAGTAGCCATACCGCCATACGATTCTTGTCAGATACCGCCGACACAACAAGATGAACAGACAAAGCTAGCAATTCGCGAGTCCATCTACGTGGACTTTTACGTTGGTGGTGAAGATACTGAGGAACAAGCCATCATAATGCACCAGTCTCACGCACACTCTGTACAAAGCCTGCCTGCACAATCGGAAGTGGGCAAGTAACAGCGAGGTTGTCATAAACGATATACCCGACAAATTGCATGAAAACAGAGTTTTTCTTAGCAGAAAATGACAACAGTGTCAAAACTCTTGGGCTCAATTGCTTCCAGTTTCTGATTGATCCAGTAGCAGTGTATGGATAAATTGGACTAAGTTAAGGCTATAGACATGTCTTGAGGTACCGCAAACCTTGTCAAGCCTGCAAACGTCTCGAGCTGATTCAAGCGAAGAGACTTCTACAAGATAGACACAAGATAAACAGCCTCCCTGGTCATGATCGAGACTTAGGTATCAATTGGACTACTATACCTGCAACAGCTCCAAGCTTCGAAGGGCTATGGGAAGCTGCTTTTAAGTCAATGAAAGTACTCTATCACGAGACAGCAGGCAATGGAGTAAAAATTAAAATTGTTATGTACACAGTGCTCTGTCAGATAGATGCTAAACTCAAATCAAGACTGATCACAACGATCTCGGATGATGCCAAAGACCTTGTGCCACTCACTCCATCAATGCTTCAAAATGGCTTCAAGTCAAGTCAGTTGCCCATTGTTGCTGATCCTACTATTGATGAGCATACTGAAGATGAAAAATGTCCGTTAAAACTGATTGCAGATATCTGGGAAATAGACTCTTGAATATTCAAGTCATAAGAACCGTGTACAAAAACGAAACTGAAAAAGGAGATCTTGTATACATAACTGATGATGATAACCCCTTTTTATCATGGCCACTTGGAATCGTGGAAAATGTATATGCAGGAAATGATAGTCCAGTGAGGGTAGTGCAAGTAAAAAAAGGGAATTGGAAGCTTGGTACACGACCGATTTTAAGATTTCAGAAATTACCGTTGAAAGACGATGAGAGATTAAAACAATACATTCTAGAAACAAACAGATCAAAAACAAAGTTCAAAAACAATGGTCAGTCATCCAACTCTTCTTCATCCTTCTTCCTAACGCATCTTTCCGAAATTTTCTATAACGATGTGCTCTACTCCTTTTCTTAACCACAGGATCAGGGTTTGCATCAACCAACTCCAGCTGCTTGAGGACCACCCGACACTCTCAATTCATCTTCGCCACCTTCTTCTCAAGTTCCATTTTCCACGCAATCAATCCCGACAACTTCACAGTAGCCTTCTATTTACTGCTTCCAAATTTCATCTCCCTCTGAAATGTGAAAAATTGATCAAAGATCAAGCAATTAAGAATCCTATTTCCTTAAGTTTGATTAGTTTCAAATCGGCGTCGCGGTCAAGTTCCTTGTTCCAAAAGAACGCCAGCGCAAGCAAGCGTGGTGCCACCTATGTGGCTGGGAAGACTTGAAATATTGCTTCAATTTTCAAGACATTTTTTTGACCTTTTTGTTTTGAGTCAACCAAATTGCTCTAACAAATCACTAAAATACCATTTTTTGACCAAATTTTCTGCGCCGACGTTAAAAAGATTCAGGATCCGTCCGCCCACATTTTAAATCTCCAAATAGTACAAAGAGGGACCCTTTTGGTCGGCAGCAGGTCGAATCCCTGAGGGGGTAGGCGCGTCCGCCCCCGTCTCCGTCTCCCTTAATCCACTGGTGATCCAGAGCTTGACTATCTTGTGCTGAAACTCCCATCCACAGACTGCCCCTAGAGTCACCCCAATTTTCAGCTATCCAACCAACCCATCTGGGCAATTCTTGTTCTCAAACACCAGCCAAAGGCTTTTAAAAGTCTTGAAATTGAATTGTGGCGAAATCTCGGGGAAAGCACGAAAGTTGCAGCTTTTTTTAACGGAAAAAGAAATCCATATGGCAGTCCTCCAGGATTTAAGGCTGTCAACGTCATACAAGTCCATGTCACTTCTTTGCCCAGTAAGTATAATGTAAGAGAGGCTCATCAACCCAATTTCCAGTGAATATCAGTTAATTGCCTAGAAAGAGTTCGCCTCATCTCTTACGCTGACGATTACCATCCATTCTTCCGAATTATTTCAAAGAATCAAGAAAATTATTTCTCAGATGCTCCAAAGAAGAAGCCGCTGATTTTTTATCCACCGCTTGTTGAACGAAAATTCACCCGTGTTTTTCGATAACCGAGTCGAAGGGAGGATCTAGGACTTTCTCGAGGGATTGGATTTTCAAAATGTTTCGAAATTTAATCGATCTTTCTTAAGGTTGACCAAATTGATTATCCTAACTGTCACAATTCACTATAGGACCCTATCTTCGATTGAACAAAATTAATGATGACGATCCTGACCTTTACATCATTGAAATGACCCAAATCTTGATTGATGAATTTTCAAAGTATTGCTTAAAAAAATCCGAAGAAAGAATAAAAACAACCACCCATGGTTTAATCTGAAAATCAAGAAAATGATGAATAACCAAAATGTGTTACACAAAAAGTGGGTTCAGACACCATCCATTGAAAACAGAAATAATTTCACCTCATGTAGGAACAATGTTATTAAGGCTATAAGGGTGAGTAAACGCCGGTACTATGATAACTTGATAACGAGGGAGAAGAACGCGTCAGGAATTTTTGATGCTTCAAAACATTTTTGTGGTAAATAAAATTTGAATACTGCTTCGTTCGATGTTAATTTTTTCAATTAACACGCTACTATTGGAGAAAAACTAACAGAAAACTTCAAACAAAACGTGTATAGATCAAATTTTCCAGTTAAATAACAACACGTTCGTTATATATGATACCGATCGATATGAGATACTGAAGGAAATTAAAAACTTGAACAATAAAAAGTCTACTGGTCATAATGGGATATGTAGTAAAATGGTAAAATTTTCTGCTCCGGTGCTGGCTGACCATTTAGCGCATTTTTTCAATATCTGCTTCCAAAAAGAGTGTTTTCCTAATTTTTTCAAAATTGCAAAAATTTTACCGTTGTATAAAAATGGCGACAAAACTGAACCCGATAACTACCGTCCAATTAGTTTGTTGTCTTGTATAAGTAAACTTTTTGAAAAACTAATTTTCAAGCGCATATATAGTTTTGCCGCTAAAAACAACTTGATTGATAAGCGTCAGTACTCATGCCATTTTGTCCATTAATGACTTTTTTCGTGAATCAATCGATAATAAAAAATTTGGTTACTCCTGCTTTATTGATTTGAAAAAAGCATTTGATACAGTTGATCGGAAAATTTTGCTTGACAAATTTTATCAATATGGGTTCAGATGGAAAATTCACATTCAATTTATTTTACAGGGCGAAAACAATATGTCTATTCGAATCAATCCGTCTCGAATATGCTAGAATGTACAAAAGGTGTTCCTCAAGGTTCAGTTTTGGGGCCATTTCTGTTCCTTTTCTGTTCCTTTTTTACATAAATGATATGCCGTCGGCCAGCAACGTTAAGCTAACATTATTTGCAGATGATACGACGGTAGTTGATGCTCAAAAATTTGCATCCAAAACGAAGTTCCAGACAGAATCAAATAAAATACGTAATTGGTGCAATAATAACAAACTGCTCATAAATCAAATGAAGTGCAAAATAATGAAGTTTGGACGGGATAACTTGAATGAAAAGTTTTCTTTTGGTAATAATGTACTCGCCGAGGTTTCTGATTTTAGGTATTTAGGAATTCAAATGGACAACGGACTCAAATTTGAATGTCATATTAATAATGTTTGTGGTAAATAAGCTAAATTTAACGGTTTACTATTCAAGAGTAGAAACTATTTCTCGAAAAATGTGCTGGTTAAATTTTATATCTGCTATGCAAAGCCACTCATTTCCTACGGTTTAATTGCATTTGGTGCAACATCAAAAAACCTATTAGAAAAAATATTTTTGATGCAAAAACGTCTTTTTAAAACTATTTGTTTCAAGAGAAAATTTGAGCATGCCTCATATATCTTACATTCGTTTGAGATTGACACCGTTTTTGACTTATATTTCGGACAAATATTCAAAGAAACGTTTTGTCAACTTCGTGGTAAAACTCCCCTTGAAACTTTTAATTTGGAATCTCTGAATAATCGTCGGGTTACTCGGGCCTCTGTGGCAAAAATTTTACCAAGCATGAAAACTAGAACACAAATAATGCTACGTTCTTGGAAAAATGTGTCTCTTAAATGTTATAATTTTTTGAAATCAAACGAGCTGATACCAGATAACCTAAACCAATTAACTGAGCATCAACTAAATGAGTATTTCAAAAAATTGTTTTCATTGTTTCTTAAAGATAATGGAGATCTTCTTAGATTTATTTTTTTTGAATCACCAAGTCGGATACTATCTCGCAACTTCTGTCATAGGTTTTTTCAGGGTCATGCCTCGATAAGCTGCATAGCTTTTTGCATGATTCTTGGTGGGTTTGATTTGTACATGCGGTTTATTGTTTACCTGTCTGTATAATATTATTCTCCTAAATAAACTATACCAGACTAATCAAATCTTGACAAATTTTTTGTACGTCGCAGCTAATTTTTTGAACAAGCAGGCCACAAAATGCGTTTTTGGCACTACTGAAAAAGTTGCGTTTTTTTTCGGCGCGCGCTCCCCTCAAAATTTACTATACATTGGCGTCCGGGTTTGTCCGCCAACAACTTCTCCAAATAGTACAAAGGGGGACCCGCTGTGTCTTAGGGGGCCGAATCCTTGCGGGGCAGAGCGTCCCCCCACTTTTTCCGCTGGTGATCCCGAGCTTGACTATCTCAATTTGGTCCCTACCACATGCTGCCTCTCCAGTCACGCACAACTTTCAGCTGATCTTGTTGCCCCGCCAGTTACGCTGCATCCCCTGCCAATGTGCTAGAATCTGGTGACGCATCTGTACTAGGCGATACCAACGAACGCTCAAACTGATAGTACTCCAACATAGAATATAAAAGCGGTCAGATTTTCATAAATGAAATTACCTAATCCACTTTTGCGCCCTTAAATGAAAACCAAAACAGAATGTTTGTTAACGCAGAATTTCTGCGGTCCTCTGTCGACATTTCACTGGCGTCTCAATCATTGTTGCAATTGGCTTCCATCTTGGTCCCGGCTAGAATCCCCAGGATCTGATCACCCCATGTTTCTTCAACTACCCCTGAGTGAACATCTGAGTTTTTTTTTCCAGAATTGATATGCTATTTTTTCTTGTTGCTGACTGGAAAAGCGTCACTGAGGAGATTGCCTCTGGCCTCTTTGAAGCAGGCGCTTCCTCTTACTGTTGCCGCAGACGGGAGATTTCTCCAAAACGTAGTCATCTGGGCAGATTGCCGTCATAGACTCGCTCGCCGTTTCATACACCCCACACCTTCTCTCTGAGGAATCTTCCACTCTCGCGTCAGAAAAAATTTAACCCTTGTTTCAGCGAAACCGTAGATCCCGACGTAGCTCAACTAAACAGAAAATTTTTGAAACAGACAGCAAAAACAAAAGAAATGGAAACCAACCCGCCAAACCTGCGTCTATTGCACTGGGGCCAGAATCTTTTGTTTAGAAAGTGATACACTCCCCAAACGGATCGAGGCCTGTCAAGTACCCATGAAAAATTGACTCAACTTTCATCTACTCCCCACCAGATATAGCCAAAACTTTCAACAAACAGTCCACCAACGCCAGGGCCCACGCTTCAGACAAACTACCTCCCACAACGAGGCGAAAAATTGCCAAACTCCCTCTTTCATAAAACACTACTTTTTCCAACAACAGATAAAACTAGCCATCGTAGATAGCAAACTATCCAAAGTCCGCGGTCCGGATGGCTTGTGCAATTCCCACTAAACAAACATCCCTGATGGCCTATGAAAGTTAGTTCCTCTAATCTTTCACTGCTTAACTTTTCTTTTAAGTTAACTCGCTGTCTGACAATATAATCCCCCAAGAGTGGAAAGGAGTGGGAAAACTTGAAAGTCTTAATTTTGCTAAAACCAGATAAGACTTAAGGCTATCCACATCATACAAGTTCCTTTCACTTCCTGTCCAGTAATTAAAACTTAAGAGAGGCTCATCCATCCAATTTTCAGTGAATACTTACCAAATGCCAAGCATCAACATGATGTTATCTCCAGATTTTTATAAATATTTCCATGACGCCCTCCTCATCAGAACTTTTTCGCCTCGCCTTTTACGCTGACGATTAGCGATTATCCAATTTTTCTGTTGACGAAAAGCCACCCGTAGTTGTCAATAACCGAGACGAAAACTCCTGTTTTGGTTTTTGAGCACTCTAAAATTATTTTAAAACTAAACAAGACAAAGCAAGGAAAGAAGTTCCTTGCCTAATCTCGTCGCTCTAAGGTTATTTGTATTCATTCACCTCAAAGCAATACCTATCGAGAACCACACGATGTTTTATCTCAGTTGCGGTCCTGCTTTAGTTGGCTTTCAATTTTTTTTACTGTCTCATGTATTACTCAATACTCCTCAAATCCGATTAGGGGTGGATCTGGGTTTTTCCCTAGGGGGATTTTCAAAAAGTTTCGAAATTTTATCGATCTTTATTTTAGGTCGACCAAATTGTTTTCCAAACTGTCACAAATCACTATTTGGACCAAATTTTCGGCGTCGCTGCCAAAATTTTTAACAAACAGGCCAAAAAAGGCATTTTTCGGATTTTTTTTGACCAAAAAATTGCGTTTTATCGGCGCGCGATCTCCCCTCAATTAGTATATTATGGCGACCAATGCGCCGTTAGATAAAATTCAGGGTCCGTCCGCCAATAATTTTAATTTCGAAATAGTACAAAGGAGGACTCTTGGGTCGTCAGGGGGTCGAGTTTCACCTTATCCTAAAATGGCTTAATTATCTCACTTTGAGTCATGTGAGGCAAAATAGTATTTTTCTGCTTATCGAGTTTCATGAGGATTCGAGTGTATAAATTGAACATCATTCGAGATAGAGTATAAAGTTTTTGTAGACGATGGTTATGATTTTTAAAATCTCAAATGCGTACATCATATCAAATAAATTTTCAAAAGTTGCTTTCATCCCATTTCTTCGCTTATTTGCATTACTATGTCTGTTTTGTATGACAAGCATTGCGAAGCCGTGCTTCGCCTGTGTATAAACGTTTTATTGGGTCACTTGAGCTCCTCAGCGCGATTTTGGTCCATGATTTAGATTTATATGCGGGAAGGGGTAAGGGTTCCCCGTATTTAAATGTTTTAGTGCAAAAAATTGTTTGGAAAAAAAATTGTATCAAGCTGTTCAAACTGATTGCTGCCAGTCGAGTCACAACTTAAGCCAGACAAAAGATGAAAAACTAAAAAGTTGCTGTTGCGTGTTTTTTAAAAAAGTGTTAGACTATGGCTGCTTTGGTGCGATATATATGGTGTTTGTGTTTCAGTGTATAAGTTTTGGGCAGCAGGAAAAAAGTGTTGCAGCTCCCAGTACAACAGTACCACCCTCTCTCCATGGCTCAAGTGTTGAGGAAGTGGGGGGAGCAAGTGGAATCCAACAGGCCACTGGGACAATGGGACAGAATCAATCCAGCAATCATGTACAGGTGAGACAGGCTGTCCTCATTCAGCGTGTAAACTGGCTGTCCATAATACTCATCAGTCGAATGCTACGTGGCCCAAATTGGCGCAGCCTCTGCACTGAATGTCATCGGATGCTGCGTCAGCTGATGCGCTGTACTCGGGAAAAGAGTCATTAATCACTGGCCAATCGTACTCATCATGGCCGTGAAAAAGCAACATCATTTAATTAATAATTATAATTGTAGTTCCTGCGAATCGCAGAGGAGCTATCAGTAGGCCTTAACAGTCCTGTCGACGATAGTCCATTTGTATTATCTCCCCACATTCCAGACAGTGTTATTTTTTTTGCTGAGCGAAGCTGTTTTTTTTGCGACTCAAGGCCGTTTTTTTTGCGTCTAGAACTTTTACGTGGTACCACTATTGCAGCCAAATTTGGTCAGGTTGTGGTAGACCTGAAGCTAGAGGTCAAGTGGAGCTCGTCCTCACACACTATCATTGCCATGGCATGGGATCGATTACACGACCTGACGATTTCAAAGTGAACGCCTTACCACTGTGCTAAGTGCCTCATTTAATTGTATTGTTACAGTCTAAACGAGGCTGTGCTACTTCTGTAGAATTTAGAGACAATAAGTTTAAAATGAGATGCATGAAACAAGGGGTCCTCAAGGATGAGTGCTGTTGCCTATCTTCTGTATTTATTACATGTCCTCTAGGCATCTCAGTAAATAACATACCGACTTTGCCATTTCTATCACTATGACAGTCCCTAATGTTTCTTATCTTCAAACGATTGTCCAACCATGCCTACACGAGGAAAATCTGAATCTTAAACTCTTATTCCACTGCCATTCTCATCTCGTCAGAAACAAAACAAATGTCATGAAGAATGAAACTGTGTTACCCACATTTTACAAACTCACCTCAATCCTGGAGTCACTTTTGATATCCTCATCTCTTTCATTCTGGTTCAGCTGGTCTGTAACGTGCAAAACCAGATTGAATGATCTCCAAGTTCAATAGAGTAGTGGATTTATAATCGCAACTGGCTGGATAAGAACTCTTACCCTCCCTAAACACTAACTCATTCGTTATGGGCATCGAGGTTGGCACATTTGTGTTGTCCAACTCAGTCATTTTTTGCTGCAAGCTTTCCTTCGCTTACTGATAATGTTTGTCTTGAAATACGCTGCGTGCAATCGCAGTCCTACGCCAAAGCTGTTTGATCCCGTGGACTGCGATAATACGTTCCGTCGTTGAAAAAACTTGCCTGATGAGCTTAATCTGTTCAAAAGACATGCCAAATTCGGATATTGTCTTGAGAACAAGCAATCTGGTTTAAGAGTCGATGAACGTAGTTCAGACTCTTATAAAGGTCTTGGTATTTTTTAAAAACTTTTTTCAGGTTCAAATTTACTTTTTCGCGCTTTGACTTTTGATTTATTTTTAGGTTCAGTTCACTTTATTTGTAAAAGGAAGACACTTTATCCTATAGAAGAGCAAAAAGTTGTAAAGGTTACGAAAAACGTGATCATCCACATCTAGTTCCAAAAATTTCTCAGCGGAATATAACTCTTCCTTTTAATCCAGTTTTCTTAAAATGAGTTAACTATCAAGATAGTGCGAATCATAAATTGTTCTTGAAATTCAAAGAGCTTTAAGACTCGCTATTTCAAGTTTTGCTTTCTCATATTTGCAATTTCTGAGAATGCACTTAATCGAATTTTTAATCAAGTGGTTTTAGAATTTTTAAGTGAATCAAAATCAAGTGGTTTTAGAATTTCCGCTTACTATAAAAAAAGTTTATCAAATCGGAATGTTTTCGGGTTTACAACTTGTTTTACAGAATCACATGAATCACATGCTTCTGTTTTATGCTAAGTTGCCACATCTTTTTGCATGCAATTTTCACTTGTTGCTTTCAGTAATTTTGGTTACTTCTGCAACTTCTAGCTTTACTAGCCGTGACTTCATATATTTTGCTATATTTTTAACAACTTTATTCGGCTTAAATGATTTCGGCTCATTTTTTATCGGGTTAGTGGTCTGAATTGTACTCGTTTAAAAGGAAGCATAATTTTATGTTTGTTCACGCATCGCCCAAAATGCTGAAGTGCTTAGAATAGAATTTATACTTCAAAGTTTTTCATGACAAAAACTATCTATACTAGAAATGGGTAAACTTCATTTCACATACCAAATTATCGATTGTCTTTACACTCTGTACAAAAACAGATTTTATTCGAATGTTATTTCATCAACTGGCGAAGTTTTCAACTAACTTGATCGCGCTGTTCATCCCAATTTGGTTTAGAAAGGAGCAGAAAAATGCAAATTTTTGCAAAGAAAAGACTGTTACGCAAAAAGTTCAGACGTCATTGTTTATGTTCCAACCAGAAACTGGCTTCCACACGAACTATTCGTTCAGCTTTTTTTTGGAAAGAGTTCCTAAAGTACAAAGTTGAAATATGAACCTGATTTGTTCAAATTAATTGACTGTTTTTTTTTGATAGTTATGGATTTGTAAATAATGATCTTGTCAATTTTTCAATGAAAAATTAAAAAACATTCGATAATATATCTGTTTTCTTTCAACTGTCTGCGAAATTATCAAAAAACAAATAATTGGTCAGTTTTTCAGGAATTTGCAAAAAAGCATCTTCAAATTTTTCAACAAGATGTCGTATTTTATTCTGATTTTAGAGACTTTTCTGGTATAACAATATGATAAAGTTCTAATTTAGTGTGAAGTGTTAAGATAAGTTTCTTGAGAACCTAATATTCTAACTCATACTGTTCAACTAGAAAACTAAGTGATGAATGACAAAAACATAGTAAACACATTAAAGTCTCCTAAAAATTTGGGAAAGTTTGAATTCGTTCAAAGTTTAGTTGTCATAGGCAACTTGTTTCATTGCTTCATTCTCTTTTGCAGTGAAGAGTCGAGTCAAAATTTAGGGAGGCATGATCGTGACGCAAACTTGCCTTCTATTGTAAGTTGCAATGTCATACACTTTGTTGGCAAGCTCCTGATCCATAGTTGACTCTTTGTCAGAAGTGAGTTCCAATATAGGGCTGAGTCCAAGGTTTTCAGCATCGTGAATAAAAGTATTTCTAATTGCTGCTTCTTTTTCACCAAGATAGACTCGCTGCCTTTTAAGGAGTTGTCCCAACTCATTTTTCTTGAATAGTTGAAAGCAGGATTCAATTCAATGTTCCCATTGCAGGATTTTTGGGACCAAGCAAGCCAATTCTCGTATGATTTTTGAAAGTTCAAAATAATTGGGACTGGTGTCTTGTGTTGAGTACGTTTTTAAAAAAGAGAACAGACTCATCAGATGAGGAGAATTTAGAGAAGTGATTTTGAAATTAAATGAGATGGAAGTAAACATTGATACAATCAGTCAACCATAAAAGGAAACAGAAAAGCAAATGTATTTTTTTTGCGAAGTTTACAACTATGGAATTGTGTAGTTTTTAGTGCTCAAATATAAATACACAATTCTAAGCAAAAGTCTTCGTTTCAGATGGCTGCTGCTATGTGTGGAGCTCTTAACAGCTTTTTTGAATTTTTTTTGAAAAATTGCTATTTCCGTTTCCGTGACTTTTACGAAAAATATATAGTTACCCAAGTTTATTGTGTCTCTTCCCAAAATTCTTAAGGTTCTGTGGTAATTTTAAGTTCCACATTCTTCTGATTGGTTCACCTTTTGATCAATTTATACTAGAAATGGGTAAACTTCATTTCACACACCAAAATATCGATTGTCTTTACACTCTGTACAAAAACAGATTTGATTCGAATGTTATTTCATCAACTGGCGAAGTTTTCAACTAACTTGATCGCGCTGTTCATCCCAATTTGGTTTAGAAAGGAGCAGAAAAAGTGCAAATTTTTGCAAAGAAAAGACTGTTACGCAAAAAGTCAGAATTTAGGGAGGCATGATCGTGACGCAAACTTGTCTTCTATTGTAAGTTGCAATGTCATACACTTTGTTGGCAAGCTCCTGATCCATAGTTGACTCTTTGTCAGAAGTGAGTTCCAATATAGGGCTGAGTCCAAGGTTTTCAGCATCGTGAATAAAAGTATTTCTAATTGCTGCTTCTTTTTCACCAAGATAGTCTCGCTGCCTTTTAAGGAGTTTTCCCAACTCATTTTTCTTGAATAGTTGAAAGCAGGATTCAATTCAATGTTCCCATTGCAGGATTTTTGGGACCAAGCAAGCCAATTCTCGTATGATTTTTGAAATTTCAAAATAATTGGGACTGGTGTCTTGTGTTGAGTACATTTTTAAAAAAGAGAACAGACTCATCAGATGAGGAGAGTTGAGAGAAGTGATTTTGAAATTAAATGAAATGGAAGTAAACATTGATACAATCAGTCAACCATAAAAGGAAACAGAAAAGCAAATGTATTTTTTTGCGAAGTTTACAACTATGGAATTGTGTAGTTGTTAGTGCTCAAATATAAATACACAATTCTAAGCAAAAGTCTTCGTTCCAGATGGCTGCTGCTATGTGTGGAGCTCTTAACAGCTTTTATTTGAGTTTTTTTTGAAAAATTGCTATTTCCGTTTCCAGTGACTTTTAAGAAAAATATATAGTTACCCAAGTTTATTGTGTCTCTACCCACAATTCTTACTGTTCTGTGGTAATTTTAAGTTCCACATACTTCTGATTGGTTCACCTTTTGATCAATTTATACTAGAAATGGGTAAACTTCATTTCACATACCAAATTATCGATTGTCTTTACACTCTGTACAAAAACAGATTTTATTCGAATGTTATTTCATCAACTGGCGAAGTTTTCAACTAACTTGATCGCGCTGTTCATCCCAATTTGGTTTAGAAAGGAGCACAAAAAGTGCAAATTTTTGCAAAGAAAAGACTGTTACGCAAAAAGTTCAAACGTCATTGTTTATGTTCCAACCAAAAACTGGCTTCCACACGAACTATTGGTTCAGCTTTTTTTTGGAAAGAGTTCCTAAAGTACAAAGTTGAAATATGAACCTGATTTGTTC